TTTATTGTTAATCTTCTGGATTTCTGATTGCTGTCTCTCTATGGATTTTTGCAGCCTATTAAATTTGTCATTATGTTCTTGAATAACTTTTTTAAGTTACACTACTACTTTGTCTGTATGTTCCCTGGCGATTTCTGCATCCTGTCGAAATTCCTTTCTAATTTCTAGAAGATTTCTGTATATTAATCTTTTGTATTCTGCGTCTGGTAATTCCAAGAAGTTCTCTTCCTCCAGAGAATTTACTGATTCTTTATTTTGGGAGCTTGCTGAAGCCATCATAGACTGCCTCTTTATGTGATTTGATATTGACTGTTGTCTCCGAGCCATCAATAATTTATTATAATTTTATTTTATATTTGTTTAGTGAGACCTAGCTTCTTGTTTTGTTTTCATATGCCAAATACGCTGCTCATGTGCACTAGTTTGATTTTTGACACCTTTGAATCTCTAACATCCTGTCACCAGGTAGTTAGTTCTGTAACTAAGTATGTGCACACGGGAGTCCGTTAAATTTCCCTATATGGGTTCAGCTTAGGTGTCCAGGCAGTCGGTCACCAAGTGTGTGATGCAGGCTCTCACCCCTAGTCCTAGAGAGGCATGGGTGATTGGTGCAGGCACTGGACTCTGGCTGTGGTAGGGGATCACGGGCTGAGCCAGGCAGGGGGTTGACAGCTGCTCCTCAGAGTCTGAAAGGAAAGTCTGTTCCTATTCTATAGGTTGAGTAGGTAGGTGAGTTTCGCAGCCAGACAATGAGCACCCCACTCTGTTTGCTGCAAAGACTCGAGGGCACCACCTTTTCTTTGACTCCTGTAGCAGGTGACTAGGAGCTTTAGGTGATACCACCAGTCCTCAAGTCCCTGTTGCAGATTGATAAAAGTGCCTACTTAAGGGGCAGGGCTGTTTCGAGGGTCACAAATCTGCCAGTTCACAGCTGAAGCAGTTGAAGTTAAACTTCAGATGTTTACCCTGTTGTACTGTGGTAGTGAAGGCTAACGCTGTTGAGATGGGTCCCCACAAGTCTACACAGGGGTGTAAGGCACTCAGAGTCTTGGACCCCTTATACCTGTGCCTAGCAAAGGAGCTGTGCCGACCCTGTGTTCCTGGCTTAGGGGAGCCAGTAGCTTATTTGTTCCCTCTCCAAGGCCAGGACAATGGGTCAGCTGCCTTTTGGGATCTACTTCAGGCCCAACGGACTCCCAGTGCAGAGCGTGGAGTGGGGAAGTAAAAGGGAGAGAGGTTTTACCCAAATGGGCTTTTTTTTTTTTTTTGATATGCGTGAAAGGCCATGTGCGTGTACTTATCTTAGCCAGTTGGGAGCTGCTTTTCACTGGTTCGGAGTGTCCAAGCAGAATCTCTGCTGTTGGGTCTCTCTTGATGTGGAAACTACTTCCTGAGCGCGCACACAGCACAGCTGTTTGCCTGCTTCACTATGGACCAGCGTGTCTGCAGCGCTGCAGTTTTGCTGCCGTGACTCTGGCGCTCTTCGCTTCTTCCAAACTGTCTCCCTCTCCCCCTCCCTGTCACTAGGTCTGATTCCTCAACTTTTCCTTGTTCAGGGCTCCTAGATATTCATATAGAATCAAATCACTTGTTTTTCCAGGTCTTTGTTGTAAGAGGGATATAGGAAGTGTCTAACTACTCCGCCATCTTGGCCATGCCCCCGATAGTCTGGGACTTTTGACACCAGAGCACACCCCCAATAACTAATGATTAAAGGAAGTATGGGCCATGATAATTGACCTTGGAAATCGCCAAATCCCTGTACAATACCCCTGATCTGATGGCTCTGATCCATCCTTGTCCCTTGGTGAGCTCGGGTACTATGCTGGCCAAAAAAGGGAGGAGAGAAAAAAAAGGATTGGCCTTAAATGCAACACAGAGGAGGAAACAGAATTCAGTCCATAGCAAGTGGCTGTTGACTATGTTTGGTCTGCTGTATTTAATTTTCTTTAATGACAATTTTCTGTCACTTTCCAGTGAATTTTTGGCTATTAGATGTTAATTACTGCTATAACCCTATCTTTTAGATCAAAGTCAGAGGGCAGTATACGATAACATCTTCTTTAAAATAATTCTGTACAGCCCCTTCTATCTCCTCTTGTACATAACAATCTAGATGTAAAACTACAGTTCTGGTTTTCCACATGGTTCACTTGAGGGAATATTTTCTCTTCCTGAACAACTGAAAGTATGTTTCTTCCTCACGACATTTGTATATTCCTGTTCTTTTGCCGATATCCTGAGCTCCACTTTGTTTTGAGAAGACCTCAAGATCAAAAGCATTGGTGGTGGCAACAGATGTCTCTGGACCTCCATGTATACTATTCCTTCTTCACAGGTAGCTTCACCTCTCTGTTTCACCTGGCTAACTCATGTCTCTGCTTAAATTTCACTTCCTCAAGGAAGCCTTCCCTGACTTGAAGTGCTTTGGCATCCTACATTGCTTCCATAGATATATCTCCTATCATACAATATAAAACTGATTATATTGTAAGTCTTTCCACAAGCTTATTGACACCTTTGAACTACGGTGTTGGTGAAGAATATTGAGTATACTATGGACTGCCAAAAGAATGAACAAATCTGTCTTGGAAGAGATACAGCCAGAATGCTCCTTAGAAATAAGGATGGCGAGACTACATCTCACATACTTTGGACATGTTATCAAGGGGGATCAGTCCCTGGAGAAGGATATCCTGCTTGATAGAGGGTCAGCGGAAAAAAAGGAAGACCCTTAAGGAGACGGATTCACACAGTGGCTGCAACAATGGGCTCAAGCATAACGATAGTGAAGATGGCGCAGCACTGGGCATTGTCTGGTTCTGTTTTACATAGGGTAACTATGAGTCGGAAACAACTCGACGGCACCAAATAATAACAACAACAATTAGCTCCCTGACAGCAGGTCCCATTTTTTCTTGATTAGAGTTGAATTTCTAACCCTAAACACAGTGTTTTACACATAACCGGAACCCAAAGAATATTTGTAGAATGCATGAATAGATGGATAGATGGATGGGTGGATGGATCTCAGATAATTTGTCTGTTTGGTTGGCAGAATTGTCTGATCTGTGAAAAGAGGCAGAGGCAGACATTTGGTTTTATATAGGCTACTGCTAAGGAAAAGCAGACATTGCTTGCTAATGATTACTTGTATGTGTGTTTTCAGTTACCAGTAAAGGTTTGTGCATTTTTGCAGGAAAAGTTTGAAACTGAATTGAAGTATCAAATGACAGTTAATGGAAAAACTGTGGTGCTTTATTTGAAAAAAAACAAGTAAGTGTCTTTATTTTTGATATTATCCTCATCAACAGCAAGTTAACAAGTGGAAAATGTACTAATTGTGTCTGTTACTGCTTATGGCTCTCACAGACCTTGCTTAATCAGCTTTTGCTTTCAACTAGCCCAAGGGGTTCAATGAATATTTTGTTTCTACTGAAATAGTAGAAACACACTGGTAATGTTCCCATACTCCTAGTAATAAAACACAATAAATTAGTTGCAAACAGACACACAATTTATTCAATTCTATAAAACATCAGATAAAAAGTTTTCAATGAAATTCATTATAATTTTTAATTCTTTCCCTATAATATTGCATTTTATTCTTCCAACACTGAAAGATTAGATACTAAAATCATTTTCAACTAGGAAAGAATAAGAAATATATAAGTGAAATAAAACACCAGGACCAAAGGACAAGTTAGTGGTAAAATCAGAATTGGATTCTCCTGAATCCAATACCAGTACTTTTTCTACTCAGCTATTCACTAGCCCTCCTCCCTGTTTTTCTCATATATGACATTGTCTTCTTATTTATTCGTTGTCCTCATTTAGTGTATTACGTGTAGTTTGTCTTAGTTATCTAGTGCTGATATAACAGAAGTACCACAAGTGGATGACTTTAAGAAACAGAATTTTATTTCTCACGGTGTAGGAGGCTAAAAGTCTGAATTCAGGGCACTAGTTCTAGGGGGAGACTTTCTCTCTCTGTAAGCTCTGGAGGAAGATCCTTATCTCTTTAGAGCTTCTGCTCCTAAGTTATCTTCATGTGGCTTGGCATCTCTCTTTCCTCATCTTTGCTTGCTGCTCTCTGCCTAACCACCTTGGTTTATATTTCAGAAGTAATTGGCTTAAAACACACCCTACACTGATATGGCCCCATTAACATAATAAAGAAAACCCTATTCCCAAGTAGGATTACATCTACAAGTATAGGGATAAGGAATTACAACACGTATTTTTGGAGGACACAACTCAATCCATAACATTCCACACTTTGGCCCCCCAAAATACATGTTCTTCCTTTATACAAAACACATTCACCCCATCACTTCATCCCAAAAGTCTTAAATCAACTCCACATCCAAAATCTCATCTTCTGAATCATCTAAATCAAATATGGGTGAGACTTTAGCCGTAGTCCATCCTGAGGAAAATTCCTCTTCATCTGTGAACCTGTGAAATCTAGACTACAAGTCATCTACAATGGTGGAAAAGGCACAAGGTAAACAATTCCATTACAGATGAGAGAAATTGGAGGGAAAGAAGGGATAAAGGGTACCAACCAAGTCCAAAACCCAGCAGAACAATTTATATTAGCTCTAAAGCCTTGAAAATAATACTCTGTTCTTTGGGATCATCCGGGCAGTGGCCCTGCCCTCCAGACTCTGGGTATTGGCCACACCCTCTGGATGCTGGGTGGATGCCCCTTGGCCCTGGGCTTCAGCTCCACCTTCCAGGCCCGCTAGGGTGAAAATTCTGTTCCCTTGGTTTTGGGCGGTCCCATTCCCCTAGTCCGTCTGAGTGGTAATCCACTCCCTCAGTCCTGGCAGGCCCAGGTTTTTTGTCCCTTGGGCATGGAAGCCCTGCCCCCTCAGCTTTGGCAGTAGCCCCATTCCCCCGGCATTTGTGAACAGCAGGCCCACACTCCCAAACCACAAGTATAGGAGTATAGAATTAAAACACATATTTTGGGGGGACACAATGCAATCTATAGCACAGTTTCTTCTGAATCCAACATTGCTTTTAATTTTTAGTGCCACTGCTCTCACCTAGACCTTGATCATCTGTATTTCAAAATCAGTTTTTCCTAATTCTGTGCTTTCAATCCCTTTTAATCCCTAGTTTGTTCCATAAAGGACAGCAAGATTTTTTCCCCAAATATACAACCACTTTTTGTAAAAAATCACTACTGACTAGAGTTTGGAAAAAGTGTGGAAGTATAATGGAAATAGTATAGGCTTTGGATTCAAGCAGACCTGAATACGGTTCTCTGCCACCTGAATTAGATAATCTAATTTGAGAAACAGGGAAAGTAGTATTTCTCCTATGATTGTTGAAAAAAATTAAATTAAATGATGCATGTAACATATCTAACAGTGCCTGATATAGAAATGGCATTAAATATAAATTAGTTGCTTCCTTAGCTCCTTCATTTCCTCCTCTTTTAAAAATATTTTCAAACTCCTAATTTCTGGTGGGTAATTGAAATAATTTTCAGAAGTTCGGTGAAAATGCTGTAAGGACACTACCTACCAAATTCAAGTGAATTTCCAGTAAACTTTCTTCTGCCACAGTTGTTAATGGTCACTGGTATTAAAAATGACTGGGTGCAAACTGCAGTTATCCTAAACTAGTGAGGAGCATTACCAATTTCACTCACTTTTATTCACTTAGTTCTTCTCTGCACCATATCTGTCTCAAGTCTCTCCTCAGCAAGTATGCATATTTCTATGAGGAAGGAGATATTGTTTCATACTACTCAGGAATGGCCATGCCTCTCTCAGTCTTTCCATTTTAAGCACCCTTTTCATGCTTTCCTTTGTCTTGAAAGGTAAGGAGGAAGAGCTCAAGAGTTAAAACTTTCATGAACATCCAGTGAAAGTATATGCTTTGATTACTGGACTTTGTAATTAGCAGGAGTAACTGTGACTTTCTTTTTTCCTCTAGGGATCTCCTTGCACCAGGCTACACGGAAACACATTATAATTCCACTGGAAAGGAGGTTACCACCAGCCCACAGATAATGGTATAAGAGTCTCCTAGATTTATTGCTAATTGGGGTGTGACGCATAGACTCAAAGGCAGCATCATCGCCAGCCCTTGACTTTATAGCCCTGGTGCTCTTTTCAGCAGTAGTAATTGCTAATCAGCCCTCCAAGTTGTTCTACCCAGTTTTGACAAGAACAAAGGCATTCCTTAACAGCTGTGGTAACCCTCTTCAGCCTTCAAGGGCTCCCTATTGGAGAATGGGTAGAAGGAGCTTGTTGTTTTAGTTAGAGGAGTGAAGAGTTAAACACATCTGGTGTTCTTAGTCAATGCCAATTTGCCAATTACCTGTCTGAATTATGTGGTTCCTCAAACTCAAGAGTAGTTCCTCAATGGTAGAATTGTAGAATTCCATTCTTTTTTAAAACAGTTTCTGCTTTTGACTCTTTTTTTGTTTGTTTTTGGAGGCGCTCTTTGCTCAGACTGAGCAGATACCAGTGTGCAGCCGTGAGAGGGGTTCTTTCCTGAACTCCATTCTCCATTAGAAGCTCTTCAAACATTGTCTTCTATGACAGTGATACAAAGGCTTATATGAGCCAACTTCCCTTCTGTCCCAAAGTAGAAAGGTGTCCTTGAATGAATACTCATATGAAAAATTGTTAGGATGGGCATTCAGCTCCAAAAGGAGGTAGGAAACGTTGTGCTGACCTAGTTAGTGACTGTGGTAGAACTCTTTGACTAAAACAACTCATAAAAACACAACCTGAATTATCCAAATATTAGAGAGAGCTTGTAGGTTTTTTATTTTTATTTTTTTTAGATAAATTTCAATGAGCAATTAGACAATAGTAAGAATGAATGTCTGATGTTCAGAGGCTCGAGGTTTAAATTCACACATGTAAGTCTGTTTCTTCCAAATAATATTTTCCTCTATTATCCTACTTCAGCAACACCCACATTTCATTAGTATTTTCTAGCGTTTTGGGATCATTGACTACAAATTAAAGTTTTTACCATAAAAAAAGCTTTTTAAAAAAATTTCTCAGTTGATGTTGTTCAACAGAAAATGGCTTAAAAGCTGTATAGAGCCTGTTTAAAGATTTCAAACTTCAAACTTAGCAGTGAGTCTAAAAAAATACACACACTTGCCTTTACTAATCTCTTTTCCCTTTTAATTAGGATGATTGTTATTACCAAGGGCACATCGTTAACGAAAAAGTTTCTGATGCTAGCATCAGCACATGTAGGGGTCTAAGGTAAGACTTCATGGATGTTTTGTATTTACCTGTGATTATGATGTGCTTTTCTCTAAACCCAAAGAATCAAAAATATAATTCATTTTGCTATAGTTGAGTATGAATCCTAAGGGCTTGAAATTTTTGAAATTTGAAAGATAAAACATTTCTCTTGATAGTGGTTTTTGTTTGTTTGCTTGTTTTTACGTACAGGTTTTAGTCCCAGTACTGGAGCCAGAATATTTAGAGATTTGGAGCTCCTCTCCTCCATCTCTTCTTACCCTAAACTTTCTCATTAGCTTGTCTTATCCATGCTTATGACATCCATTTCTTTCTGTATGTTAATGACTCCCCATGCATCTATGTGTAAGATGTCTCTTCTGACACCCAAACTTGATTATCTAATTTTCTTTTCCTTATGTCCAGTTGGATATCTTAAATAAATCTCAGTCTTAATATGCCCCAAATCAAACTATTTTCTCCCAGATCTTTTTTCCCAATGTTCTCTAACCGACCACTTGTCCAATCCAGAAATCTACGTTCCTTGATGACTTCTTGCCTCTCAACTCCCCATTTTCAGTAATTATCAAGCTCAGCTGATAATATTGGAGTCCCTGGGTGGTGCAAATGGTTAAGCTCTGCGCTACTATTTGAAAGGTTGGTGGTTTGAACCCACTCAGAGGTGTCTTGGAAGAAAGGCCTGGCAATAAGCTTCTGAAAGATCACAGCCTTGAAAACCCTATGGAGCAGTTCTACTCTGCACACATGGGTTGCCATGAGTTGGAATCAACTTGACGGCAAGTGGTTTGGTTTTTGTTTTTTATTGGTAATATCTTCTTAAATATTCTCTGAGATTTTTCACTACGTTCTGTCTCTACTGCCACATTATATTCCAAACCACCATGATCTTATGTGGATCACTGCGATAAACCGCCTAATTCATCTCCCTACATTTACTATTGCTGTCTTCTAATTTTATGTACAGTTAATCCAGTCTCCCTAATATATGCTCCTGGCAGTCTTTGTAGTTCTTTTGTATCAACTATGTATTAGTAATTGTATATTTCTGTGATTATTTAATACATATCCAAGTCTAAACATAAGCTCCATGAGGGGAAATACCATGACACTCTTTAACCATTTGCTGTTAGTCCAATGCTTAATGAGTAATGGGTGCTCCATAAATATTGTTTGAATGAATCTTTGCTTAGGGCCTCAGCAGACAATTGAGAATAAACTGATAATATTCATTGATCACATGCTTTACATGTAATTTCCTTCAATCCTTACAACCATCGTATTAAGTAGGTATTATCATTCCAATTTTATAGATGGAGAAGCTGAGGCTATGTGAGTTTAAGAAATTTTCCCATGGTATCATACCAGCTAATACGTGATAGAACCAGGATTTGAATCCCTACCTATAAGGCTCCAAAGCCTCTGTCATTTCCAGTGCACTTTTAGAGCAGACACGGCATGGAAATTGGAAAAACACTGGACTGAGAGTGAGGAAACTTCCATTCTAGTGTCAGCACTAACATAGGTTGCTCTATGGCACTGCAGTAGCCACTTCTTCCCAAAAGGTCCCATTTCTTCATAGAGAAAATAATTGTAGGTACTCTCTAAGGGTAACTTCCGCTGTAATGTTTCACTCTAGTTTATTGCCTCTAGTTTATGAACTTGAAGTGTTTTTGAGGTAGAGTAGGAATTTCATAAGGTCTGTTTTTGGAATCTATAAGTCTACAAAACCCTAAATCAGAAAGGCTGAATTCTTATGTTTTTCAGAGGCTACTTCAGTCAGGGAGATCAAAGGTACTTCATCGACCCTTTAAGCCCCACAAATCAGGATGGACAAGGGCATGCACTCTTCAAGCATGACCCTGATGAAAAGAAGGCTAACAGCACCTGTGGGATGGATGATGTAATATGGGCACATGGATCTCGGAAGAATGCAGTCCCACCTGCCACCAGTCTGGTTGTATGTTTGACTATTTTTTCTTTGCAATGCTGTTATGTATTCTGTCCTGGTTACCCTTAGCGGCTGGAAATGACTGAAACTTTACAGTGATTGTTGAAATTAATAGGACATAGAGACACTAATCATAAAAACTTTTGGTAAAATGATGATTTATTTAATAAGTACTTAAGGCTCAAATACAATGATCAACAACGTGCAGGATTAAAAAGAGGTATAACACTTGACCTCAAGACACAGGTGACTTTCATAATACTTTCTGTAACCTACAACAAACCACAGAGATGTAAAGTACCATCATCATTTTGAGATAAAATATCCTACTATCTTGAACCATTTAACACATTTCTCTTAAATACTGCCATAGGGGCTGGAGTATAGCGGTGAACAAAATGGACATAGTATCTGCCCACAAGAACTTAGAGTATTCTTTCATGTATGGAATGCTCCTTCCAGCTACAGAAGAAAAATGAGTATGATTTTGTTTTCTAAACTGTGAAGTATATATCAAAATATTTTTGTCATTATTACTTTCACTTTCTTCATGATCCACTTCAGATCCAACCATCTCTTATAAATGTTTTTAGAATCCATAAGCATTGGGCTGAATTGATTTAAATGAAAATTCTGGTAGGTTCAATCTGCTGTGGGTTTAAATTCTACTGGTGATATCTGAGAACCCGGAAGAGCCACTCTTAGCTATAGTCTTTATATGTTCCCATGAATGTCCACCTCCTGGTTACTTTTATGTTAACTCCTGGGCCCTCTGTCACAATTCTTCTGTAACTATGTGGAAATAGCCTTGTTTTCATGGCATGATAGTATTTTGGTTTTCCTCCTATTTCACTAGTGCTTCTCCTTCACAGTTTCTTCCATTTTTGTTGGTATTCCTCCTCTGGGTGACCACAAAGCTCAATCCTGGGCCACTTTCTTTGCTTTATCTACACATTCTTCCTAAGTAGTCTCATCTTGCCCTGTACTTTTTTGAAATAGGTGTTGTTGTTGTTAGTTGCTGTCAAGTTGGCTCTGACCATTGGCAACCCCGTGTACAACAGAACAAAATGTTGTCTGGTCCTGTGTTATTGGTTCTATATCAGATAATAATCTGCTGTGATCCATAAGGTTTTCAGAAGTTGATTGCCAGGCCTTTCTTCCTAGTTTGGAAGCTCTGCTGAAACCTGTGCACCATGGGTGACCCTCCTGGTATTTGATATACTGGTGTTATAGCTTCTTCCAGCTTCATAGCAACATGCAAACCACCACAGTATGACAAACTGACAGACTGGAGGTACTATGTACTAACGTTGTTAGTACATCACGTCGGCCTGACTCATGGGTTTTCACTGGCTGATTTTTTGGAAATAGAAAGCCAGGACTTTCTTCCTAGTTTGTCCAGTCTGGAGATTCTACTGAAACCTATTCGACATCATAGCGACACACTAGCCTCCAGTGACAGACAAATGGTGACTGTGCTTGAAGTGCATTGGTCGGGAATTGAACCCAGATCTCTAGTAAGAAAGGTGAGAATTTTACTATTGGACCACCACTACCCACTTTGTATAATAAACCAAAAAACCAAACCCGTTACCTTCTGAGTCGATTCTGATTCATAGCAACCCTATAGGACAGAGTAGAACTGCCCTGTAGGATTTCCAAGGTTGTAATCTTTTTTTTTTTTTTCCAAATAACAAGTATTATATTTGGGGCATTTTTATTCAAATAAGCAGAGATGTTATTTGTGTTTAATCATATGAATAGTTTCAGGATTATAGATACATACACAAACAAAAGTAGATGAAATACATGTCAGCAGAAAACTGAAAATATTTTATATCCAGGTTTGGGACATCCTTGTTCACATTGTGTCTGAGGTATAGTCGTTATATGTTAAATTATAAACAGAGTCTACAAGGCCTTAAAATTCAATACCATTTTCATTTTCCATATCACCTAGAATTTTCAGGTAGCAGTAAAGCCTTAAATCGGGAATTAGAAAAATAATAATAGGAACCCGGCAAAATGGCGCTCTAGGCAGAAGCACCACGCCATCCCTCCACGGCAAAGATCCGAAAAACTAAGCCGAACAGAGAAAACAACAATCCTGAAACCCTAAATGAAGAGATAAAGAACTCAGCCAAGCACCAAATGGAGTGAGAGAACTGACAGAGAACGGAGAGCGAGGAGAGATTCA